CTAACACTGAGTTGCATCAGTTGATTAGTTGATATACTCACAGGAAGTGCGTAACGGGCCAACATCAAAGCAAAGCGTTTACCATAGATGGGCAAATTTTAAAGAGATGTTTTTAACTGACTTGTAAGCATGAACTTAGATCTTCAAGGAGGTTGATGTAACATGTGCAATTTTCACCATCATCATTTCATAATTTCTATTTGAGCCACAGTAAATTAAAGAAGTACCTGTATATACAATGATGGCAAAGACATCCCAAAAACAGCAGGCTTATAGCGGAGACCATCTCAACTGTTAATATAGTTTTATCCTTTAGCTTTGTGTGCGCAGCATGACCAATTCAGCAGTATGAAGCTTAAGGACACTTACTTGCATGCAATCTACTTTTAAGTTTAACCAGTTAGACGTTGTAGCTCCTTTGATTTGGCACTCTATGAGATATCTCACTACGACAGTGGTCGCCTTGAACGCTTTTTTTCAATCCTGTTGAACGACCCGAGCTATGTAATCTGCAGTTATCTTGATCTTGTTACTCGGCTGCTCGCTAGTATTAGTAAATTAAACACGTTGTTGAGGAAGAAGTCAATGATCGATTGTATTATGTACCAAACTAGGAATACGGTATCTTTCTTCGCACAAAGTGGGTGAAAAAGCAGTGTATTTTCGATATTTTCGTGTGTAGCTGCCTACAAGTTATGTCAGCTTCATCATGGCCACTTCAGATATACTGGACTTGTGTTTGGACAAACCACAAACGTACGTGACTAGAAGAAATTTTGCAAGCATTTTTCCCGCGTTTGAAAAATAAACAAGCCAACATGATTAATTATGACTGCCTTTTTTCTGTGTCAATATCAGCAGATGGAAGGAGACAACAAGAGACGAAATTGCCTTCAGAGACTAGCATTTTAGGTGGGACCCAATTAGTGGAAATAAACTAAACATGGCAGTCTCCTATTCTTATTGTGAGCGAGGTTCAGACAGACAAAGGTCTACTAAGTACATAAATTTTTTTGGCCTTAAAAAAATGATAGCTCATGCATGGCTGATGTCTTAAAAGGCAAAACATAACAATGTCTATAACGCAAAAGTTTAACAGCGCAAAATGCAACAACCACCTTGATAGATGCTCACTAGTAAAACCTAAGTTATGAAGCAGAAATAATGCTCTAATTCATAAACAATTCATCAACTTTCAATGAAGGAATCATAACCGTAACAGTGGTTTGAAATCTGGTCTTATCTACCTGTATCAAAAGGTTTTTACGATTTTTTTTCACCCGTGTTTACGGTCTTAGTTTAGTTTCGATTGAGAAGATATATCAAGCACTCGAGACAGTTCTTTACCACATTTCCGAACACCTCGCAGTTCTTCAAAAATTCTCCGCTGCGCGTCGTATTTTCAACTCTCATTTAGGTGTTTGAAAGTGAGCGTAAAGCACGATCTCTCTTGTTTAATATGTTATCTGATAAACAGTGAGGTGAACAATCGTAAAGCCTCTTATAGAGCCGAACGAAAGGAAAAAAATTCTGTTTATTTAAAGTTAAGTAATATGTTGACACCACACTAACAATATTGTCTTAATAGATGATTTATGCTGCATACACGAGGCAACACTATAATTCAATGATGAGTTAAGTCTGATCTGGCCGTGTGACCAATACGGAGATCGCATTGACACACTGACAAGGGTTACTTAATGTGACTAGAGGGATAACGAGTGCAAGATACCCAGAGGGTTGGTCAACCTAGCAACCTGGATAACGATTAACTTTGGTCGAAATTAGAAGTAACTGACGGAATGACATTGTTGAGTATCTAATGGTACTTTATTTGAAAAGCCATCAAAAGATACCATTCAGAAAGAAAATAGCATGTTCTTTATTTTCCTTATTGTGTTCTAACTATAGTCCAAGTTATTCATTAAGAAACCAACTAAGTGTAGTCCAGGACCAGTAACGACTTTATTACAACCACTTGAAATTACAAAAAAAAAAAAACAGTATACATTTACCCTTATTGAATCTGATTTCACGTTCCAAGTTAACAGTACTGAAAAATGTCTCGTAAATTAGACCTCAACTTTATTCTGCCGGGCTCTTACGCCGAATTCCAAAAGGTTGAAAGTTAACAAACGTCTGTTATTGATGTGCACATGTAATATTGCATTCAGTTTATTTTTAACTTTCCATCACTTTGGACAAGAAAAGAATGCATCTCATCGCAGCAAACTAAACCTGTGAGGCTTTGCATGTGATCATCCAAACAAAACGAGAGACGGAAGTCAGAAATACCCATGAAGATGGCCATCTAGCTTTCAAGCTGCAAACTACTGACATGAACCTGCTTTTAAGACGTAGAATTTATCAGGATATGTTAGCATTGAGTTTCCTCTACGACTGGCATCAAAATAAGTTCTATTGACTACTTAAATTTGAGGTACCGCATTGTTACTTCTCAATGTGACTACTACTGCTAAACTCAACACAATCATTATACCCGGTTTACTGAATTTAATCCATTCTGCGGATCTGTTAAAGCCAACAGAACGTTTTTAAACGGATCGCTTATATACATTTATAATAACAGTCCGATATAGGTTAATTCTAGAAAAACTGTAGTGTAGGTGTCTACGAGGAAAATGATAGTGCACAGCCCTGGCTTTTAATCCCTTGGTGAAACTTTGAGCATGATTTTCCCTGGAGGGCAGGTGAGAACAGCACCAACAGCAAAATCAAGTGGAGGCTGCAAGGAAAAAAGGTAAATTCAGCGATCTTTGTGGAACAAAAGATGCAGAAACGTATGTCTACACAGAAATGTCCCTGAATGGTGAGATCGGCTATGGTTATTGCCGAGCCTCAAAGGTCTACACGAAATTTCCAGTTTTATCTGAAAAGTATAGTTAAGTGCACAAATACCCTGAAGTGCAAAATAAGCCGCGATGTTTGGCGTAATTTTTAGGTGAATCATGTACGATATTTTACGTTTCGCACCAAAGCCCACGAATGATGACAACGTCTACATGTTTAGAAACCACAGACAATGATGCCGGGGGGACCACCTTTTTAAGATGACCTCGTTACCCTTTGGGGATATAATTTGCCGATTAATACAGCTCAAGGTGTTCACTAAAATCTAAAATGATCGCCCGGTGTTAAAGTTATCGCGGTGCCTTTACCTCTTAAGGGTTGTTTTCATAATTCCGGCAAGCACCCCTGTCATATTTGCAGGAAGAGTTCCCTCGAGACAATAATGTAAGCAAAACAGACTTTCGTGTATGCGAACTTACCGGCGCTGTTTTCTCAGTGCGCTCTAGCTTGTATTTCTTCAGTAACCTCACCAGGGTCAGTTTAATTTCCAGCAAAGCAAATCTCATGCCGACACAGTTGTGAGGACCATATCCAAATGGCAAAAATGTATAAGGATGACGCTTTGATTTTTCTGCTTCAGTGAACCTATCAAGACGGAGAAATTCTTTGAAGGAACTTTTCGTAACTAACTTAAGGGTGAACACGTTTAAGTAAAAGGGAATGGTTGGATAGAAGACAGCCAATTTCCACAACAAACGCCATTATTACTTCGTAAAAATAAAATGAAAAACAGTGTTACCGGTTTTTACTCCAACGACGCTATGCTAAGGAAAATATCTGAGAGTGTTGGGATAAATGAAGCCCCAGAGGGCTTACCCTAATGAACTCTAAAAACGAATGGAACTATTTCCACATTCCGCGCACGGTAGTCACTCTCACCAAGAAAGGATATCCCGTGTTGACTTACATGGTCAACACTTTTGTATTGAGCTAACTCGATTTAGCACTTTTTGTCTCGTTTCGAAGTTATTTTTAAGTGCGTCGAGAGTGTAAAAAAGACGTGATATCTTGTTCTCTGTTCAGGGAAAATAAGAAGACGATGTAGGCATTAAACAATAGCATGCAGAAATGAAACGTGATGTCGATTGTACCTTACACCTAAAATAACAAAAGGTGCATAAGTGGAGTACATTTTGAAGCTGACAACTTTTTGTTGCAGCAAGGCTTCTCTCACCTCTCAGGATCAAACTTTTCAGGCTCTGGCCAGATCTCTGGGTCATGATGAATTGCATAACATGGAATCATGACCGGCATTCCACTTGGAATTGTAACTCCTTTGATGGTGCAGGTCTCGTTGCAATCTCTCTGGAGTCTAAATCAGACAAGGCACACAATCAGGTACAAGCAAAATAAATCTAGCATTAACAGGTCAGCTAAGATAAAGTAAATGTTATAGTTTAAAGCTCGTGCAACTCTGTGATTGCCAATTATAAAGATATAAACTGGTGTTTAGTCTGCCTGGCTCACGGTAGATGCATCTGACGACGCATGCCACAGGAAATATCACTACAAAGCATTAAATTCGTTCGCATTGCAGTAACTCTCCAGTAAGCCTTAAGGTGGGTTACGGATCCACCGTATTGCATTACCAGCATACTTACACAAATCCAGGGGGATACATCCTGACTGTTTCGTTAATAACCATGTCAAGGTAATCCATCCCGTGAAGGACATCATACGACGGCGACCCCTACGTGTAAAATGGAAATTGTTGAAAATAAAAAATAATTATGTCTCCCCACCCCTTGCATATTTCATCGCCATTGAACTAGGTAGTGTGCAAACATTAGCACGTGGGAGTGAGGAATGAATCATCTCAGAGTGGTATAAATAAGGTCATATCCGTCCCACAATAAAGTAATCTTTCCTCAAGGCATTTCATTCACTCAGTTTTTCTTTAATTACTACCTATACTGAGTTTGGTAGAATTGGCTTTCGTGGAATCGTTGAGATGTTATTCTACTTTACAGAATGTCGAAAATATATAGCCTGACAAAATTAGTATGTTTCGAAACTGTTACAAGAGGGACAAGTAGGATTTACGAGGTGTTCAACCTAAGCCCAATTTCACAGTTTAGAAAAGAAGTACGAGGTGTGCCATAGCACCATTTAATACTATCTACCTCGTCTCCAGGCCACATACGATCAATCTCGTCTCTCAGTTTGTCTTGGACATGCGTATTCAAGGCGAGCTGGTGACAGGCAAATGCCAGAGTGGTACTTGAAGTGTCATAGCCAGCCAGAAGGAATACAAGACTTTGGGCCTGAATATCGTTATTGTCAATTTTCTCTCCTCCCGTTTCTTCTCTAGCATCTAACATCAGTTGCAGCATGTCTTTACGCTGTAAGCGATGTAAATATCACGCACAGTGTGAAACTCGTGTTAACATTACTGATAATTAAGAAAAAAACAGCAAATAAGATAGTTTGCGTAATTGCAAATAAACTGCTTTTTTTAACTTTCCACTCGAAGCTATACATCGACCGAAGGAACTGTGACGTAGATTAAGGCGGAACATGTGACTTCAGATGACACGTAAACAAGTTAAGTTAGAGAGAGCTTTCTTCGAGTTAAGTGACAAATCTTGAAAAAAGCGCCAGAACGATTCTTTGGAAGGACAGCAAGATATAGATGCTATTTTCTTAGTCCCATTATTAAGAGCATTGATTCGCGAAATTGCATTAAAAACACTCTTACAGTACTCTAACTCACTTCTGCTGTTGATTACCACTTACATGTGCTTTGCTCTTGCCATTTGCCTTCTGCCTTTCCTCGATGATATTTGCTGCAATGGACCCTATTTTGTCCCAGCCAAATGGGTCTGGAATATACTTCAGTATGTATTCTCCAAATGGCACCAAAACTGAAATACATGATTACAACAAACTTCAGGACACGTTTCTGGTTTCTTTTAATAAGGTGGGTAAAAATCAAATACAATGTGATCAGACACAACGGTGGATCAAAGCAGTAAATCCTTACAAAATATTGCGGTCAAAGGGTTTATTTCCATAGCCTTTTTTGCTAGTTCAGTGATGGGATCTTTCTCAACAGTTTGTGTTTCTGCCTTGACTCCAAATGCTGTTGACAAAATCACTTCCATGGTAAGACTCTGAAGCCACCTAGAAGAAAAATCAGATATGAAGTATAAACAATTAACTCTATATTTATACCTAACCCGTACTCGCACCCAAAATCAGCCAGCTGAGCATGATATCTTAGCCATATCAAGTCAGTGACTTGATATCGCAGGATATCAGGAAGGTAGACACGGCTTCTGATTTGCTAATTGCGAATTCGAGTACGGTAATAGTACATACAGTATCAAGCTGAATCAGGGACATAATTGTCATAATTTTGCAATCTAACATATAGAAGAAATTTTTTCAGTTCTATACCAATGATGATTTTGGTGGTTTTCATTTTTTAGGCTACACTCAACACTTTTAGCTGAGCTTACGACATCCATCAAAAACGGCCGTGAGATAACCTAAGGTACTTATGTAGAAACAATTTAAATACTAAACTGCGCCTTTCAATAACATGCGGACTCTAAAACTCAAAGCTCAAGCGACAAATGCGTTTTTCGCTACCGTCGATCAAATGTTCGGCGGCTCCTCCCAGCCTCCGACTACTGCCGAGCGCGCGGTTATATAATCGTTGAGAACAGTTCAGACAACAGTGCTCGGCAGAAGTCGGATGCTGGGAGGAGTCGCCGAACATTTGATTGACGGTAGCGAAAAACACATTTGTCGGTTGAGCTTTGAGTTTTAGAGTCCGCATGTTAACTAGATTTAGAGTCCGCAGTTAACTAGATTGTAGGCCTCTGAGTGCTGCTTTCTGACTTTGTTGTAACGTTTAAACTACAACTTTTATGTCTTACATGAATAAAACTTCCGAAATGAAACACAGTAAACTTTTGTTGACTATATGTAACAACCTGTGAAAATCAACGATCTCTCCTGTCTTAGAAATCCTGTCCACTTTGTTCATTAGAGTGTCCAGCGCTTCATTCATAAATGGCATCATCTGAAAGAAATTTTATGCACAATAATAAAACGGCTTATTACTTTATAGTTGTGCGAATGCTAAACTTAGTGTCTTTGTTGTGGACCCATACCACCGGCTGCAAACAAATCCGCACACTATATTCTCCGTGAAAATTATTATGATTAAAAATATTACTAAACTGATAAATGAATAGCCTTATAGAGGTAAGTAACCTAAAATTTTCAGTTTACTTGCCTGCTTCATTTTAGACGCACTGAATGTTGGCGACAAGGTGGCACGTATGTCCTTCCACTTCTGACCACTCACAATGGTTAACATTCTGTCATAAGGCTTCCAGAACTCAATGTGTTCAACTAACCTCTGATAAAATTTGACAGAACAATGTTACTTTGAGCATATATCACAACATATTTTAGCATTGGCTTTAAGGTCCGAATTTTAAACTCATGAGCATTGCCTCAGTATCCTCACGAACAGTCTTTCTGAAAATAATTATTTTCATAATCTTAAAAAAACATTGCCCCAATTTCCCTTTCAGGGAACGTGGCCTTCATAGACAGTCCCAAAAAGTTGATTTCACGGTACAATAAGAGAAATTCTGCTTTAGCTACAAACGTTCCCGGGCATACACGCAGAATGGAGGCCAGTTTAATTTCACACAAGTACACTTGGGGTGCTTTGGGCATCCTCGGAGACCCAGGGGCAGCTAGTTGGGAGGACGCGATGTTTCGGGCAACACGATATTTTCGGCCGAAAGTTTACATCAAGAACTTTCGCCTGAAAATATCGCGTCACCTGGAAACATCACGTCGGATGGCTTTGGGTATTTACAGCTTCCTTGGTAGTGCAGTCAGGTGAAGCTTGCCCCGCGATAAATTACATTAGCAAAAAGGATCATCTCAGTTTGACGAAATGCTATAGACATTCTAGACCTGCTTCTGTCATCATTTACGTGGAGAACCCAGCATGCTTTTGAGCCAAAGAGTACTTTATTCTAAAATACCACAATTATATTTACCTTTCGATCGTGGAACTTTGAAAATTCCTTAACAAGGATCTCTTTGATCATGTCTGGATCAGCCACCATCAGGAAAGGCTCACGGAAAATATAAACTCTAAACAACAACAAAAAAATCATATCCTTAATCTTCAGTGTTTTTTAAAATGTTAAGTATGAGAACACACAGTGCATACCCAAAGACTTTTCCATATTTCTTACACCATTCCATCTGACATTTTGGAATAAGGTTCGGCTGTGTACAAGAAAACAAAATTACAAACAGTTCTAATCAAAGTGGCTATGAGCCGCTCAACTTGGGCTATGAAGTTATACAAGATGTTAAAGGATAGCAGCAAAATGTTGTTGAAGCTGACAACATATCACAGAGAGTAAACATTAATGGTAAGAGTCCTATTCAGCAGGGAAAAACAACACTCCTAGTCGGTAACTGAAACGCTACAAACCCAGTGTTACTAGAAAGCAGAGGGAAAATATACTATGGAAAATTCCTCAAAATTCTGGGTCTGTTATTTTTTTCCAGAAGCAATCTGTGAATCGCATGAGTCCCATTCACAGCTTTGTTTGTTTTTACTTTTTGGTGTCAGTATTCTTGGTGCTTAGGACCCATAAATGATTAAACAAGCAAAGATACAAAATAGAGGTAACCCACTTCAAGTGGTATGAAAAGATAGGTAAACTATGGCCAATGAATCTCTTCCAAAGTCGAAAAAGATACATTATTTACTTCTACAGCATACGTCTCTTTCGTTCAAATGCACGATCCTACCTTTATGGACTACTTACATTTAACTGGTTTTTTATCGAGTTTCCAAAAAATGGAACAGGTGTTGGCCCAGGGATTCCAAGTTTCTTGAACACAGTGAAGGGTGCAATACAAGATCTTAGATAAAAACAATGTAAAGAACCATAACTCGTGATGATGATCGCTACTTATTGACTTTAAAACGCGAGTGATAAACGTCCAAATTCTCCATACAAAAATAATACAATGTCATTCAGGCAAGTAATAAAAATTCCGCAGTTTTGCGTGACTACAATCTGGCGTCACCCGTGCGTGACTTGGCTCTACCATACTACTGTACTGCATTACACCATATGCTAATTAGCAAATTTACAATGTGAAAGCCTGGATGGCGACTGAAATATTATTTACAGCTTAAATCAACGGACGGTTTAAAATGAATTAGGTGTTTAGGTTATGTTTAAGTGTGGTAAAATGTTCGATTTGCGCATTTGTTTTAATATGCGTTTGCGTTTGAAATAACGAAGTTTTGCCGGACTGTCTGGTACGTCTTTAGCAAAATGGAGAACATACAAGAAGTAATCGGTTGTTTTGCCAGTTGTCTCTATTTATCCTACATACCGGTAACAAATGACAATCAGGAATCCAGCCAAAAGCGTAACCCAGTGATCGTTCGCAAACTGAACCATTGTTTGCAGAAGGTCAGCCATCTTAGCTATATTATGTAAGCTTATATTAAAGAAACCTGACTTGGGTTGGAGCACGCAAGATTCAACTTTGGCTTTTCTTCGGCGTGGTCTGTTCAATTCCTTTCGGCGGAAATACGACAAACTATAGAGTTAGAAAGAACGTAAGCAGGTCAATAATTACACGATTCCGGACAAACCTCAGTGTAAGTGAACATAAAATTTAAACGTTCTGCAAGTTCGTGGCCTCGGGCTCGAGCTTATATCTGAAAACAAACAACGAAATTAACTTACTGTGGTATCAATACAAGATATTTCCTTGATCACTGCTATTATTTAAAACATGCTTCCAGCTTGGCCTAGACTAACGTTTCTTGGCAGACTGTACATAATTTGACCTCTGATTCGATTTTACATAGAAGCCCCAGATTTGCATGTTAAAGTTCACGGCTGATGTAAGTTGATGAATTAAATGTTGAGTATGCGTGACAGTGTCACGTAATATAAGTCGAGTTATCATGCATGAAATTAATAGTGTTTTCTTTTCTTATTTTGCTTTTATCAAATTCTTAGTTAGATCACATGCATATTTCATAAATTAATTTGTTAAGGAATAAACTGTGTTCATTTTTGTCCCAAGAACAGATTTGACAATTTGTCAAATTTCAGTTTCTCGTTGACGTGACGTCACCAGTCAAGCAATTTTACCATAACTGGAAAATTTGTGTTTTTG